TTTTACTGGGTTATATAATTTTTCTCTAATGTCGATATCAGGAAACTAGCAGAGCTTGGGTATCATCGAAATGCCAAAAAATGCAAGGAGAAATTCGAGAACGTTTTCAAGTATCACAAGAGAACCAAAGATGGCCGGACAAGTAAATCAGATGTCAAGACTTATCGTTTTTCTGATCAACTTCTAGCCCTCGAAACCCATTTTGCCGTTCAGTCCCCAGCAACAGTGCCGCCGCACTAAAGCTTCAAGCTCGGCCTCAGGCGACAATGGCAGTACCTAGTAGTCCTCCGTCTCACCCCAATAATGTCACTGTTTCATCAGCAACGACACTACACCCCAGTTTGCCTCAAAACATTGTACCGACTAGTGTAAACCCTACGATCCCTTCTTTTCCTAACGTCTCCGCAGATTTGATGTCGGATTCGACCTCCTCATCCACCTCGTCGGATTTAGTATCGGAAGGTCGGACGAAGAGGAAACGGAGGTGGAAGGACTTTTTCGAGAGGCTAATGAAGCAGGTGGTTCAACAGCAGGAGGAGATGCAGAAGAAATTCTTGGAAGCATTAGAGAAACACGAGCAGGAAAGAATGGTCCGTGAAGATGCTAGGCGAACGCAAGTGATGGCGAGAATCAATAGAGAACGCGAATTATTAGCCCAAGAAAGATCAATAGCAGCAGCAAAAGATGCAGCTCTAATGGAGTTGTTGCAAAAATTATCCGACCAACAAGTTACGGGGCAGACACAAAATAATCCGCCGCCGCCGCCTCAGCAAGCGCAACCACCTGTATCAGCGGCGGCACCAGCAGCAGTTCCTGATCCACAGCCTCCACCACTACCACTGCAACGGGTGCCAAAGACGGATAACGGGGATCAAAGGCCAAGCTCATCGAGATGGCCTAAAGTGGAGGTTCAAGCATTGATTGAGCTAAGGAGTAGGCTGGACAATAAATACCACGACAGTGGTCCAAAAGGACCATTATGGGAGGAGATATCAGGTGCGATGAAAAGGCTGGGTTACAATCGCAGCGCCAAACGATGCAAAGAGAAATGGGAGAACATAAACAAGTACTTCAAGAAGGTAAAAGATAACCAGAAGAAAAGGCCAGAGGATTCCAAGACATGTCCCTACTTTCACCAACTTGATGCTTTATACAGAGAAAAGAACAAACACGACAGCTCCTCCAATCAATCAAAATCCGATAACTCAGTCCCTTTGATGGTACGCCCCGAGCAGCAATGGCCACCTCCTTCCCAGCCTTATCTACAACAACAACGTGATCACACAATGGAAAGCGATCAGAACGACGAGGAGGAAGAAGACGAAGACGAAGTGGGTGAGTATGAAAACGTAGCCGGCGGACCGGTTTCCATGGGCTCGTGTGAGTGATGTCATTTTCAAAAGCAAATGCAATTAGCACCCTCGAAATGTCATCAGGAAACGGCGCATGAATTGAATGTTTGAAGGTGAGTACACACATTGGTGGGGTTGTAGCATATAGATATAATCAGCGGAATTTTACATGTTCATTTTCATTATATTATTTATTTTTGGGGGTTAAATAAATAAGTTGAGAGCAGATGTAGATCAGCGGAAGAGAGGTTCAAAATCTCATTCCACATAATAAATAAACAGGGAAAATAAATGGACCTGTGCTTTGTTTTTGTTTTGTACGTAAATCTTAGAATTGTTTCTACCATATTTCTTATAAGGTTTCCAAGTTTTCACACTAAGTTAATTTTATCCTTCTAAAAAATTTACAAGTTTATTTATAGTAAAATTAATCTTCTTAACGTAAAATCATATGTTCACCTTTGCAACAGAAAAAATAATGAATTAGTTCTGATTAAGTAAAGCTTAGACAAAAACACATTAAATAGTTTAAACGGTAAATGAGAGTGAAATCTCAAATTCAAATATTTACGTTTGTCGAATACACATATATCATCAATAAATTAAGAAAATATCAAAACACATACAACTTTATAATCATCTAACATAATTCAAAAAAAAAAACAAAGTTAGACAATGAGCACAATCACAGACTTTTTGCAGGGAATATCACATGTAGTGTCATGGTACCTCTTTCAACTTGAAGAGGAATCTTCCAAGTTTGTTAATCCAAAAACCTAATAAACTAACTTTATTTGATTGGGTATTCATTATTATTTTTATAAAAATTAAAGTTGATTAGTATATTCGTAATATAAAACAGTATTAGTTTTTTATGCATTAAAAGCAAATCATCCATTTATCTTTTATTTTAATAAAAAAAATCTCTTTTAATAAAAAATATTATTTTAACAAATCATTCATAATAGAAAATCTATTTCATGAAAAAAATAATGTTATATTTGATGTCATGGTGTCTTTCAACACAGTAAGATAATTTAAAGAAAGTGTAATTACTTATCATTTTAACTTTAAGAATTAAAAATATTATTGATGTGTTTCAATCATGCGTAATTTAATAGAATTTATTTATTATAATTTTTATTTAATTAAAAAATAATTTATAGTGGTTAAAGGAATCGTTGTTGTTCCTAGAGGTCATAGGTTTGAGCACCAACGACTACAAAGGTGATTGAACGTTTATTGTAAAATGATTGAGAATACTTGGAATAAATACTACTTTTTAATAATCTTTAGCTTAATAAAAATAATTTATTGAATTATTTTAATTAAAAATAATTTATTTAATTTACAACAACATAGATGTAATGAGTCTGAACACAATACATTTGAGGTATAATGTTAAAATCAACCACCAATATTTATTAAAATAATTACTTTGATCCTATTCCTTTTTTAGAGTATTTTGACATCTAATATTTCAATTTTTAGGAAACATGTCCCTAAAATTTGATAGGATAGTCACTTTGGCTCTTTTTTTTTTCTAGAGTATTTTGACCTTCAATGTTTTATTTTAGGGTAAAATGCTCATATTTTGGAGCATTAATCATGTGTTAACTAATGATTTTCATTTATAGAATGCCCTTTTTATCCTAAAATAAAACGTTATAGGTCAAAATGTTTCAAAAAGAACAATGAAGACCAAAATAATTATTTTAATAAACGTAAAGGCTAAATTAAAATTACGCCTATATTTAATGTATTTTATATTTGACACTAAAATGAAACACGAATAACTCGCATTAATATCCCTTGAATTTTCATGATTTTGATTGATGAGAGATGTTCTAGTTTATGGGTTAATTTGGTGGACAAATAACATTGTCTACGCAAACGACTTTAGTGTTCCTTCATTATTTAGGGTTATATTTTACTATTGTTTATGACTTTCAATGTTGATGACTTTATTATTATATGTTGAAAAATAATTATATAATAAATTATTTTTTATAATATATTTTATTGATAAATTTGAGTTAATACAAGGTAGAATATGTTCAAAGATTTAATATTTTAATAATGAATACTCGTATCTTCTTATATGTTATACTCGAACACGGAAATTCTAAAGATAATAACAAATCTTTTAATTACTGAAGTTATTTAATTTGTGTATTCTCATAATATATAATTGAATGATTAGGAAGTATAGATAACGTGATAGGTCTCTTTCAATGGGTTGCTTCTACCTTCAAATATGTGATTGATTCTCATTACTTAGCGTGACGTGTATAGATAATGTTTTCAGTTTTGGGCCCCAAATTTTTAGAATTCGATTCACTTTAAGGTAACTACAAGTTTAGTATTTTTACTATTGTTTTATTTTATTTTGATCACTCGACTATTATTATTTAAAATAATATATTTAATGTTATGTTTTATTTTATTTTGACCAGTCGTTGTTAAAAAATTAACAAACTTATAATGTGTTATTTTTTTAAAAAAAATTCAATAATGACGTGATATTATTTATTATAAAATATTAGCATCGCCGTTAAATAAAAATAATAGTTGAATAATTAAAATAAAATGAAAATATAATATTATATATATTTTAAAAAAATAGTTAAATAACTAAAACAAAATAAAAAATAATATTTGAAGTACTAAACATATAATTTACCCTTCATTTTATTATAAGCAAGAAAATGAGATTTCTCGCTGACGGCAGGAGCTTTTATTTATTTTGAGAAGATAATAACAATAAAAAAAAAGTAAGAGCTGAATACCTGTGATGTCCCAATTCAAAGTAGAGCATGACCGCTCAAAATTTGTGGGCATACATAGGTGAATTTTTAAAATTTTAAAAATAGATGAGTTATAAAATTTTAGGAATAATAATAAATTATTAATAAAAGATATAATTTTTTAAAAATAACTGATAAATAACTTTTTTAGATTGTCACCTTCAATCTATCCTTTTATAATACAATCACCCGGATTTGAACATGGGATTGCCAACAAAATGTCCCGATAATTATTTAGAGCGGGAAGTTAAAGAAATAAAGGATGGGGATTTATAAATTAGCTCGGAGACAATTGATTAAGTTTGTGGATATAGTTTTAGTATTAGTAGAAAACAATACATATTTTGGCAAATGTTATTCCCTTAAGGAACCCCTACAATTTGAAAAATACTTAACAAAATATAGTGTTCTACAAATTGGAGGGGTTCCTTAAGTATTTTACTAATCATATAAAATACTCCAACTATATAAATTTCCAAAGATGCTGTTTTCAGCCAAAAACAAATCACAAAAAGCCACGTCTTCCATTTGCACATTTGCAGCAATTATAACAGAAAGAAACCATACAATGCTTTTACTTTTTATACAGTATAAGCTCCATTACCCCACCGTATACCTTTTCCACACTATTAATGTATTTATTTAGCTAACAAATAATAAATTATAAAAAAGAGGAAAACGATTTAACCCCACTATATATAAAATTACATCCCATGTGCATGCGCTGTCAATCCAAGTCATCCCCGCCAGTTCCTGCTGAATCTGAACTCACTTTTACCCCCTCTTCGCAGTTCAGACCAACTGGGTTTTTCACTTCCCAGTCAAAAGACAAGATAAAAATAAAAATAAAAATCATGTTTTTATGATTATACGTATGTTTTTATATATTTATTACTACAGTAAACATAGTACTATAGTAAAAACAACCTCTGTCAGTGATGATGCCTCCAGTTAATGTCATCTTTGATTAGAAGTTTCCTTTGTTGTCTCTCACTCGCCGCCACTGCCGATTCGAGCAGTTTTCGCTACCAACTTGAAATCATTCCCTTCGTATTCATCCTCGGTATCACCATCGTCTTCGTTATCTTGAATCTGATCCGGGTTTTCCTTGTCAGCTTCTTCTTCCATCAGCGCCGCCGCCACCGCCTGGCGGCTAAATTCTTGCTGCGGCGGCCATTGCTGTTCCGGCCGTACCATTAGTGGTGCCATCGTCCTGCTGTCTGGCTTAGTTAACTTCTCTTTGTAAAGTGCATCCAGCTGGTGGAAGTATGGGCATGTCTTGGAATCTTCGGGCCTCGTCTTGTTGTTTTCTTTTACTTTCTTGTAGTATTTGTTGATGTTTTCCCATTTTTCTTTGCATCTCTTTGCGCTCCGATTATATCCCAGATTTCTCATGGCGGATGAGATCTCCTCCCAGAGAGGACCCTTTGGTCCGTTTTCTGGATACTTAATGTCGAGATTGGTTCTAAGCTTTATAAGAGCCTCGATTTCAGTTTTTGGCCATCGTGAAGGACTTGGTGAAAGTGAAACTGGAACCACATTATTATTATTGTTGTTTCCTCCATTATCGAAATTTAAGGCTTGGATTGGCGGTTGTGGTTTCGGCTGCTGCATAGGAGCTGGAAGCAATAACGAAGGATTCTCTTGTTGCAGTGGAGATTGCACTTGCACCGTACTCGGTGCCTGCTGAGCTGATATCTTTTGCAAGAATGAAAGCACCGCAGCATCTTTTGCAGCCGCCTTGGATCTTTCCTGGACTAAAATCTCATGTTCTTTATTGATCAATGTCATTTCCTGAATCCTCCAAGCTTCTTCTCGAGTCATCCTTTGCTGCTCGCACTTCTCAACGGCCTGCAAGAACTTGTTTTGCAACTCCTCTTGTTTCTCGATCACCTCCTTAGTCAGCCTCTTGAAAAACTCCTTCCATTTCCTCTTCTTCCCGCCGCTTCCCTGATACGAATCGTCGTTGGACGTGGTCGAAGAGGAGGTGGAAGTCGAGAAAAGATTCGACGACAGATTAAAAGAACAAGGGTTCGTAGGAACCGCCATCGATGGTACAGTGGCGTTGTTGGTTTGAGGTGCATTCAGCATCGGCTTCGAAGGTGATAATGATTGGAGTGAATGACTATTTTGAAAGGCTTCTAATTGATCGAAGAAACGGTAAGTCTTGGTCTTGCCATCCGCCTTGCTTGTTCGGCTATCTTTGGTCCTCTTGTGGTACTTATAAACATTCTCGAATTTCTCTTTGCATTTCTTGGCACTTCGATGATATCCAAGCTCGGCTAGTTTCCTGTTAACAGCAGCTTCTGTTTACTCTTTTCACAAATTCGGCAATAGAATAGAATATGCGACATTAATAAAAGAGAAAAATAACCCCACAAGAAAGTAAAAACCTAAGCAGCTAAGCTCACATGGGAAACTCATAACCCATGTTGGAAGTATGTGTTGACATTTATTAGATGGACAAAAGCTAAAACAAACCATAATTATCACCATCTGGGTTTTTTCTGTTAAGTTTTAAATGTTGAATTCAATTCCCAGTTTGTAAAGCACTGAATTCCATGAAACTGAATTATGCTTTCTCGGATTCCCAAAAAAACTATCAATACTTTTCATATCAGATGAAGCTATGAACTGTTGATATATATCAAAAGAGAAACCTAAATTCAGCTTGGAAATCAAAATCAAGAGATCTGCATGCAAACAGATTGCTTAACTTCTCCATCCAATGAAGCGAATAACAATAGATGAAGAATGAATTATAGCTCACCTGGAAATCTCTTCCCACAATGGACCTTTGAGAGTAGAGTCCCGGAAAACGGAATCCATGTCCGAACGTATCTTCAACAAAGCTAAAGTCTCTTGCCTCGGCCATCGATTTCCTCCGCAACTCCGGTCACCTTCATCAACCCTACCTTTATCTTCTTCACCTTCACTTCCGTTATGGATTCCGGCCACCGTCGCCGCTTTGGCGGAGCCTTCAACCATACTCGAGTCCCCCATCACAGGACTCTCCCTTAGCAATTAAGCACCAAAAAAGGAAAGAAAAAAAATATAAAGGAAATGGTATAAGAAGCGCAAGGTGAATATTATCAAAGGGTTTTATGTAAGATAGATGTATGGTGAATTTATTTATTTTATTTTTTTGGGTGTTGATCTGTCTGTCAATCTCAATCCCTTAATAAATAAAATAAAAATTAAAAGCAATTTGAGAACAACAACCTTTTTCTTTTCTTTTCTTTTTTCTAATTTTAATTTACATTAGATCTTTGGGGTTTTTTTTAGCTTTTGCTAATATGATTAAAATTTGATTTAATATTTTTTTAGTTTTAAGTTATTTAAATTAATTAATTATTTTAATTTTAAGTTTGATTAAGTTTAAATTTGTAAATGTTAAAAAAATAAAACAATATGTTTTAGTCAAATTATTTTATGGTTTAATTTTTAATTTGTTTTATTTCTTCAATTCATTTTTAACTGAAGATCATTTTTTTTATCAAATTTGAACAATATAATCTTCAATCAATGTACAATATATATGTAATTTCAATTTCATTTTTAACAATAAATTTCATTTCTTAATATAGTCATATAACTTTATATTTTATTCAGTTTGATCCTTCAATTATAGCTCTTTGTAAATTACCTCTTCTCGCCAATTCTTCAATTTATTTATACCCTTGTCAATATTTTATCTTTAAAATATATTTTAAAATATTATAAACATATTATATAATTTTAGATCACCTTTAATTTTTAAAAGACATGATACTTCATACTTATACAAGTGAAAAAGGATATGAATATCTGTATACCATTTGTCCATTTATGGTTAGGGAGAAATAGTTAACTTAGAACCGGTTAGTATCTTTATAATATAAATAATTATAATTAAATCTAAATAAAAACTAAAATAAATCTATTTGATTTGAATTTTATAATTAATTTAAAAAATAAATAAAATTTAAATAAAAATAATATTCGTAAACTAAAATAAATGTACTCAGGGTTTTATAGTAAAAAATATAAAAAAAATATGTAAGATAGATGAAATAAAAATAAAAATAGAGGAAAATGTATTTTTATTTAAATTTAAATATTAGAAATAGTAATGGGAAATTTATTAGCAACAATGACTACAGCTGCAGATAGCGACAATGGGGGAAATAAGTTGGGAAAAAGGCATGTAGGTCAGCTTTTGTTTTTGGGACGTTGTGGAATTAAGTGGCCGTTGCTGCACCTAAGACTTAAATTACTAATAACTCCCTATATGTATCCCGTTGTTAATGTCATGTATTTGTAATTTTTTATGGGTAAAGTACACATATGGTCCCCAGCCTATAAGATACTTTTTGTTGAATTCTCCAACTATTAAAAGTTACAAAATGATCTCTTAACTATAAGAAATTGCTTTGTTGAATCTTTTGACTATTAAAAGTTATAAAATGGCCACTCAATTATTCATTATGTTTCAAACTTGTTATTTTTCGTTAAAAAGTTAATTGTCATCCGAGCTAGACATTAATATACTGACTGAGGTATGATAGTCATTTAAGATTATGAGATCAGATTTTATCATATCTCAGTCAGCATATTAACGTCAAACTCGGAGTACTGTCAATTTTTTAATAGAAAATGACGAGTTTGGAACATAATGAATAGTTGGGTGACCATTTTGTAACATTTAATAGTCAATTGACTCAACAAAGTAGTATCTCATAATTGGGTGACCATTTATGTACTTTATCCATTTTTTATTATATTTAAAAAAAAGTGTTTTTCGAAGATTTATATATATTTTACAATATAATAGTTTGTGTTACAAAAATGTATTAGCTTTTTTTAATACGTACATCGTTTTTGTATTCTTTTAATATAAATATTTTTAATTAATATTTTTGTGTGACGAGCATTTATTTCTGGCATTGTCAACTAGCTTATGCGATTAAAGAAATAACATATTTGGAGTTTTAAATTCAATTTGACGGAAGTAACCCGTGAGTAAGCTTTATATTTATCACTTGCAAATAACGAAATCATTTCATATCAAATAATTTAATCCAAATCAATAAATTTAAAAATCGAACCTTATATCCTAAATCATGAAAATTCAAATCCGCTACTTAAAAAGGAAATATAACATCCTAAAATATATGTAGTACCTGCCGACAGTTCATACAGCCTTAACCCCCCTTTTGTTTAGTGTAAAAGAGGAAGTTAAATTTTACTATTTTTTTTATTAATTTGAGTAAGTGCAATATAATATATGTTTAAAGATAACTCTCGAACATTCGATATTGAACGCTCATATTTCTGATATCTATGGTGCTCGAACCCGAATCCTTAAAGAATAACAATAATTCTTTTACTACGAATGTCACTTAGTTCGTGCTCTATCTAAACTATTATCTTCGAATCTTGCTCCACTTCCAGCATGATTCTCAGCACGGTAGCTTCCACGCAAATTTTGCCTTGCGTTAGTGTTTCCAAACTTCATTTCTTTATTTATCTAGGAAATATAAAATAATATTTGTTTAAAGATAAATTTCAACTGTTAAACTTTGAGCGCTCATATCCTTGGCATTCCTGGTACTCAAACTCGAAACCTCAAAATTAACAACAATTCATTTACTATTAAGATCACTAAAATTCATGTCAAACTTCATTATTTAAATACATTGATTTTATAAATTATGTATAAATACAATACACTTCAAAAAATTCATAAAATATTTACTTTTATCATTAAAATAATAATGTATCTCATTAAAAATATCTTTTAAAAAAATATTTTATAAAACGTATCTTTTATCTTTTATGACAAGTCAACCAACAAATAATCCTATATATAAAGGCTTTTAAGAATTTTATAATTTAAATTTAGGTCGGAGAAGTTAGAAAATTGTGGAAGATAAAATAAGTTTTCCCGCCCAACATGTGCCCATGTGTTTTCCCCAATTGCTCTCCACCTTCACCACCCCTAAAAACTTTCTCCAATAAAAAGATTACAAACTTTAAAATAATTAGATTAAATCTTTCGAGTCTTAAAAAATTAAAATAAATTTTATTATTTATAAAAAATAATTGATTACAGTAACTGGTCTAAGAATGTGACATAAGCTATATGATATGATATAAGTAATTATATTCACATGTGATATACATGAGACATGACCCATGTGATTACTTGTGAAATGATATAAGTTATGTGATGATTTGTGTTACTATGTGAATATGTAACAAATATAAATGATAATACCCATGTTATGTGGTATGAGAGTTAGGGGTATAGTTGACATGCCAAGAGTCGATGGTTTTATGTGGTAATTCAGGACATATATGCATCCTTTGGAACATATATGTGGTAATCGGGACATATATGCATCCTTTGGAACATATATGCGGTCATTCGGGACATATATTTGGTCATTTTGGAACATATATGTGGTTATTTGGGACATTTATGTGGTCCTTCGGGACAAACCTATGTGGTCATTCGAGATAAACTTATGTGGTCATTTGGGATAATTATGTGACATTTCGGTGTAAATTATGAGTTGTGGTGACAATATTTGTGTACAACCTCAATGCACTCACATACCGGGCTATTAAAAGAGATAACAAATAAAATGTATGTGAGGTTATATGTATTGTTTTGTAAAATGTGTTATGATTCTATGTTATATGATGTTGTACAAAGATTAAGTATCAGTTATATAATAAAAGGGATTAATGATAATGATGAATGATGACATGATGGTATATGTGTGTGTATATTTCGTTATATGAAATGTTTTATGGTTCTGTAGGTTATTATGGTATGAAATGCTTGTGTATTGTGAAGTTTTAAAGTTTATATTATACTTTTTTATATGTCTCACTAAGTCAACAACTTAGCGTGTGAGTGTTTCACACGTAGGTTTCGAGAAGCAAGAAGGCAAAGCTAGGCAAGACAAGTTCGCTTCTCCTTTACAAAGATCAGATCAGAAAAGAATTTGAATTGTATGTATTTTTTATAAGGAATGTAGTTGCATGTAATTAAAGATTGAATTGTATATGCTTTGATCGGTTTGTAAACCTTTTGGTTTAAAATGTATAAATTAAGCAGTTTTATTTAAAATAGTTTAAATGTTCATTATCTTGTACAAGTATATGCATTGAAAAGTTAATGTGACACCTCAGACTTGTATCCGGGTCGAATACGGGTTTGAGGTGTTACAATATGAACCTTAACTATCATAGCACATGACCACTCGGATGCTCATTCAACAATTGTATAATATATAAGATGTGTTCATGATAGAATGTGCATTTATCTTATGTGGTAAAAATAGTGTCACTTTTGTAAATAAATTTTTAAGTATTATATTTATGAATCATTTATAAAATTGGTATGTTTGAATGTTAAAATTGTGTTTTCCCGTACGTTGGAATAATTTTTTTTTTTAATAACTTTTCTACACCTTTTTGTTTAGTTTACGTGAAATTTGGCAACCAAAGCGGTAAGGAAGTGATTCTTAACTCTATAAAGAAAAAGAAAATATGAAGGGCAAAGTGAAGAAAAATAAGAACAAAATCCAAAGGGAAAATAGAAAAGAAAAGGAGAGTAAATGATGATAATATAATTACGTATTTAGCTTATAAATATCGACATATTGCTGCTTAAATCGGATATAACAAAAATATTCATATAATTAATTAAATTCGGATATTTGAAAATTATAAATATTTGATTTACTATCATATTTAAATACATCATTAAATTTGAAAATTTTAGTATCTCATCCCATTAGATTAAAAACGTTTTATATTTTTAAAAGGTTACAAAAATCTTTTAGCGTTTTTAAAAACAATAGTAATTTATAAAATTTGTATTTGAATATATCTTTTAGTGCAACAAAAAACTATAGTAAATGTTACATACTAAAAGTTTGAGTGTAAATAATATTTTATTAAAGATTTTGGATTGTTAAGATATTTTGATAAAAAAAATAATTTTGATATGATTTTAATAGTTTTGATAAATTATTAGAAATTTTGGATGAATAAAATATTTTGGTACACAAAAACTTAACTGATATTAATTTTTTAAATATAAATTTTTTAACCTATACTAAACTTTCACTGTTTAATTTTT